GGCAATCGAGATTCTTTCTTATAATAGGAGTCGAGAACGTCTAATTTGATGATCAATCGGAGTATGCTCGACGAATGCAGAATTCTCGCCTCCCTCCTCATCTATGCCGCCCGTATAATCAAAAATTATGGACTCAAATCCAATCCCTTGTTCTCGACGCCGAATATGGGCAATCTGATTGAATCTTTTGATATTAATATAGCTCTCCGTATTCAAATGCCCTCTCGTCATCCGAATAATTGCAAAATCAATTATAATCGTTAGGAGATAATGCTATGATCATTGACGATATAGTGCCGAAGAAATCGTAAGAAGATCAATAGATTTCCTATCGGATTCATCGAGAAGAAATCCCAAGGATTCGATTTTCAATCCAAGATTCTCTCCCGATAAAAATCGTAAAATCTCATCACGGATATAATTATATAATCCCATTTTCCCAATCATGATATAGATTAGGCAATGACGATCATATTGATCCGAAATTTGAGGGCATCAAAAATACGCCTCATCCGAATTAAATAATGGCAAATCAAATCGTATAGATAATGATTTTGAAAATATAATATTGGAAAGATAATTATCAAATATATGTCTGGGGGTGCAATGCGGAGCCATCTATCAATTCATCATCTCGTAAATCATCAAAGATTCAATTGGTCTTGGGGAATCAAGATTTCCGGATAATCTCGATGAGATCTATTTTGGATTTGAGATATGAGATCTTTCTATCGAAATTTAGCCTGGGAATTCTGAAAATCAGCCTGCCAAATCGGGAATAAAGCTTGTAATCACTCAGCTGCCACAATCCATCCCAAGGTCGAATGACGCGGAAGAGAGGGAATAAAGATTGACATAATTCCTGAATGAAATGAGAAATCATGAGATAGGAAATATCAGCTCGATAATAAATTGATTCCCCAACGAGAATATTTTCAATCCCAAATCCCAAATTCCTCAATTTGAGAGGAAGATTTGCCTATCGCCAGGATTATTCTGGAAATAATCGACCGATTATCGTCTTGAAAATTTGACGATAGCATTTATCATATCGCTCCAATAAAGGACCGAGGAATTGACGGAGAACCATTCTAGCAAGATATTATAATTGACAAAATCCTATATATTATTATGAGAAATAGAAAATCATATATTTATTCTATAATCCCTCAATCGCTCGAAAAGGCAATTCGAAATATTCTTTCCTAGTATCATAGAATTCATTCATGAACGTCTATTCTCCTGATATCGTCATTTTCAATATCTGAATGGCGTCGTCTATCTTAATCTGAATCCCAAATTCCTATAATCCCGGCAGATTCCTTCTGAAATGATCGCCTGATAGGAAATCCATAATATATTGAGAAAGATCGTTTTTCAATCCAAATTTCGCGGCTAATCTAATTTCTTCTCGGAAATATCGGATAGCATCTTGAATTCTCCCTCCGTAGAAGCCATCGTCCGCATATTCCGGTTGGAATAGAAGAATTATTCCGGTTTCCATAGCGGCTTCCTCTGGGGGACACTTACGGGCCATGTAAAATAAAGCTATCATCATCGGATATCCCTATTGCCCTCTTGTGCTGCAATCTTCTATATCGAGCCGAAAAAATATATATTTAAATACGAATTTACGAAAAATCTATCTCATGACTATGGGGCGAGCATCTATATATTCTGCCAACTAAATATATAGATATTCAATAAAAATTATTCCCGCAGAAAATCCCTATAGCGACATAAAATCTCCAAAATCTTTATACGGAATAGAGATTTTAGAATTTCTAATTTTTCTAAATATTTTTTAATCAAATTTTGAGAGTTCCAATACTACAAGCTCCCAATAAATTAATGATTTCGGAGCGAATCTTAAAACTCGCCCGTATACGAGACTAATAATCTCAAATACTTATAATATATATCTTTAAAATATATTTCTGCAAAAGAATATACCTATTTCTAAAATCTATAATTCAATTTATCTCATCAGGGAATCATATCTATATTATTTTAAGTGCTAGTTATATATAAAGAATCAATAGAATTTAGTAAATATATTATTATATAATACGATAAATAATATCAAAATAGAAAACTTTATCCAATGATCCTCAATATTATCTATCCTCAAATCAATAGATTTTTTTTGAAATATTCCGATCGTAATATCTCTTTTATCTATCTATTCTATGCTCAATAAAATAATCAAACTATCTAGCAAATTGAAAAGTTCCGGGACCCATAATCCAATCAAATTCAGATCAAGAGCTGGTCTCAAGGCAAAAATATTTTCAAATCGGAGGATCTAAGGCCAAATATTCCGATTCATAGCAAGACGATATTAGGTGCTTATTCCTCCTTGATATGATTATTTCGGCAGATCATATAATCTTAAAGATATAACATATAAGTCATGCATGGGCGAATCCGTTTTATTCATGAAAGCTCTTGCCGATATCATGCGGCGAATTCGAAGCGCAAGCGCCTGCGTTCCCTCTTGCTTGTTGTGTTCCCAGCTAGTCGGCCTCAGAATACGAATGCCCGTAGTCCCCCTTGCGTTGCGACAAGATTTGAAGCAAGGAAAGAAATGAAATGCGAGGCGTATGAAATTAGCAATTAAGCTAACTGGCAGCAGCAATCCAGTGTCGATTTTCGTCATCATCTGTAATGTTGACCTCAAAATCATCCAGACCATCACGTTTTCATAGTCCGCCAACAGCCAGGATGAACTCAGCAAGCGTCACTTCCTTTTTTTTGCACCTGCGGGTCAGGTGACCTTCACAAAGCAGATCGCCCCGAAAGATCTGTACAAACTGCTCGCGACAGGTCTTAGACCCAGAAGGCACTCTACACAGCGGGTGCATTCCATAAGTGTGGGATGGTGTGGAGTTTAGTAAAATTAGGGTACACTTCCGGGGGGTCCCTTTTATAAGGATCATCGAATTTTGGGGTCTTTATTGCGGTCCCCGTATGTCGGGAAACGGCCATGCAGTTTGTGGGAAGTTGCAGGTTGTTTTGTCCTGGAATGATGGTCGCAGGCACATCCGGCTTCCACTGAGCCGCTCAGATGCACGAGTACTTGGTACTAAAGGCTATAACACGAACCCTCCAAAGGAGCTTTGCCGTACTCCATGCGGTTTACCCAGGGATGCATGCTGCCAGCGAGCCCTACATTTTTTCCAAGCCTGAGGTTTTTTTAAGCTGAGCATACTGCCTACCATGCATGCACGCGCGGAAACCTCTACCCAAACGCTTCCACCCTACATAAACCTAACTCCTACAGCGCGAACACAATGCTCGAATCCGATCGTTCAGTGCTTAAAAGCTTTATCTCTGGAACGCTGGCTGTACGCCTTTAACATTGAAGCAGCAGCGGTCATCCTGGAATACTGCATGACAAGCTTGGAAATTTCATATCCCGGATTGTGCTTAGCCCCCAACACTCATGAACGCTTAAACTTTATTCCGTAAACCTGACACCGCAAAACCATGCAAAACCTGCAACCCTGCATAAAGCACCTAAACCGTACACCTGAACACCCAGCAGCAGCTGTCAGTGGACGGCCGATACCCGCCGGCGCTTGGGTGGGCTGGAGGGTTCAAGAAGGGCGCCAAGGCCTCAGTTGAGATCACAGGGATCAGGAATTTAAAAGGCCTATGAAAGTATGAACTTGATGAACCTTGGTGCTTAGGGAACTTGCTGAATACTGGACCTGCATTGGTTGTCTCAAAGGACTCTTCGCAGCATAGATGTTCCGACGTATACGTGCCTTGACGCCTGGTTTCCTAGGCTGGGAGATCTTAAGCATAGGACCAGGTACAGAGTGGCATTACATGGGTCCCGTCATCAAAGGGGACAGAAGTTCAAGCAGAAGATGGTGGTCTAGACAGCAATCAGGAGGTCCCAAGAGGGCAGGCACCCTGCAGATTTGCCTCGAAACCTGATGCCTATAGCCTCCGGCCCTTAGAACACGCAGCCATATATACCTGCAACTTGCATCTACCAACGTGGAAGAAACTCCTGCCATGAGCCGTGAGCATCCCTTCATGTCAACATCATCAATTGGGACGTGCTCCGAAAGTAAGTAAGTGCAGCCATGGTAAGATTTTGTGAAATATTGGCTACAGCTTAAAACCAGACAAGTTCCAAAGCTCGTTCTAGATGGCATGCTAACTACCATGTTGACTAGGAGAAAACCCAATCCCATGCCCAGCACTCGGTTAACAAGCCCCATGAAGGCTTACTTCAGCCTGTGAATGTGTTACAAGACTTCCTACCTTAAGCAAGTCGCAGAGGAACCACCATCTTAAGAAAAACTACCTGTTCTCAACTTCTTGATCAGCCCGGGAGCTGTCTGCATCCACAGCGGTGCCGCCAAGGACCTTTGGCTTAAATCCCAAAAAAACTGGAATGCCTCAACGTTCTGGAACCCCTTTCTGATCCATCATAGTCATAGTGTCAGCCTGATTGTACAAAACTCAAAAAGCAACCCCTTTGCAGGGAACCACGAATCAGGATGCCTCATCAGGGTTCGTTACAAAGTGGTTAATCAACATGTCAAGCTCACAAAGAAACCGGTCCTGAAAGTCCAAAGGCAACCCTTGGCACAACATGTGGGGCACAGGTGGTGGAGCGGGGTCGACCGTAATATCAGTGACGTTTCGTCCTGGACTTGGTTACACCTCAGGCCAATGGGATGTCGGCGTCCCGAAACAGACAAGTCCTGCTGCGTAACATAACCAATCTCCAAATTCTCGGTATAACCACATCTTGAATCTCACGAAAAAAAATGAACCGTAACCCCAAATCTTCAGATAATTCTGATGTCTGGTGGTCTACGCTGAACATCAGACAGATAGGTCATCACCGCTATGGACAGCAGGCATCATCATCGTCATCTTCCTTCTCACCTTGGCCGGGTACAATAATGCAGGTACTCGTTTGTAACCGCCCTAAACCCTCTGAAGCGGCTCCCCTGGATGTAGTTGGGCATCCCGGCGGCCACGCTCCACAGCCTCTCGGGAGGCCGCCCCTCAGAGATGCGGTCACCTGCCAGGAATGCCGTCCACTGAAGTATTTGGGCTTAGGCAAGCAAGGTTCCCACGAATTGAGGTGCGTATTGAACTGAGAACTTGAATAAGTAGAAGGTAACGAACGAAGGAACGTCGCTGATAGATTTTGATTCGCAGAAGCCTGATCCCTAACAGTAAGGCATGCACGTTGTCGCGCCGCTTGTCTCCCCCTAATCCTGAGCAATGTCAATGTGGGGGGACCCCATTCGACCCATTGCATGCGCCAATCACACCTAAGTTTGATAACAAGAAAAGCCGCGGTGAAACTCCAAAACCCAGATTCCAGACTACAACCCTCGCTCAAGCTCTTTGTTGACCCTTAGTCTCATCAATTATGCCACCAGATCATGCTATACCCATCTGAACGACCCTGGTGGGCCTTGGCATTCACTTCTACTGTTGCCATATACCTTTCTGTTTTTTGTTACTGCCTGTCTTCATTCGTAAATATCTACAGTGAGAAGCTAGCTGAAGAAGTCACCGCCTTTCATGACCCGTCATCTCTTCCCCTATCATATACAACACCCCCACCCTTCAGATGTCAACACTTTCCATCATGGTATCACAACAGATGAGTAATTTTTTTTCGTTGTTGAACCTAGTAAGATAATATTCCTTATATAAAATACTATACCCAAAAGGAGGATACAATCTGACTCTATATTGGGTACCATAATA